TTTTTTTTGATATGATCCTGATTTTATGATGTTAGAATCCTCCAAAAATAATCTAAATTATCATGATCAAGTTGAGGTAATCTTTATTGGTTGTTTCTACAAGTTTTTACCTATAAATACCACCCAAACTCATTCATTTTTCTCCATTCTCTCTTCTTAAAATTGCAGCAACTTTTCTCTTCTTTATACTCTATATATCCATAAAAATATTAAGTTATTTTACTCCCAATACACTACCAAACCTTTCCCAAAAGACTAGAAGAAGTTAGAGCCAACAAGAGTTCGTTTAGAGCCCGTTTAAGGTAAGAAAACTCTCCCGAAAATCCTGCATTTTTTTTTGTGTTCTTCAAGTTATTGAGACACTTTTTGCTATTTTTTTTGTTCTTCGGTAAAGCTCCATAACACCTCTAAAGTCTCGGTTCCTTACTAGTCTTCAACAACTCCGTTTCACTTTCTCTCTCGAACTCGAGGTATGTACAAAATCGTATTGCACGGACTTCCCGTTCAACTATTATATTTGTAAAAAAATCTTTTAAAACAAAACACTCGTTGTATGATACAAAGTTATTTAAAAAAATATACAAAGTAGTATTTTATTCTCAAATTAATATTTTAAACACTTTTAAAAGTGATTTATTATAAAATATTGATTTACAAAAATGATTTGATATATAAGGAATGATATTTAAACTTTTATATTATCATAAGTTTGAACAACTTGAGATCATCATAAACTTGTATTTCGGAGTAACGGTAGGAGACCCCTATCACTGCTCATCGTATACGTATACAGAACCATCGGTCAAGGTTGCGAGAATGATGCCCAAAAGGCAATATTTCTCAGGGCTACATTCCGAGACCCCGGGTGTATGTCGTTAAATTGAATATTTCGTATCTCAGTAGTTTGATAAAATCTTTAATAAAGTTTTTATCTAACTTATATCTATGTAGTTTCATATATGGAAATTCATTCTGTGAAAGTGAGATATTGATCTTTGTAAAAATTATATTTTTACGAGACTCCGTCCTATATTGTTTTGTACCACTCAGCAAATATGCTGAGCGTACAGTATTTTTGGTTTTTACTGTGCGTAGGTGATGTAGCTGGAACAAGTGGAAGTGCAGGACATGGCAATTAAATCCGTTTTGATAAATACGGTTATGTGTTTATTTATTTGCTTGAATAAAAAGTTTGTATTTTATTTTATGACGTTATGTTCACAAACATATTTTGTATTAAACTCGTTTCCGCTGCTTTTAATAAACATTTATATGATGTTTTTATAAGAAATTAGTATATTTCCTCTTAACTCTCTAATTTGGAATAGTCCACGAGACTGTTAAAGTTAGGGTGTTACAGAGACTTCTAAACTCCTTATCCAGAAGCAAACTCCTCCTCCTTCCACAGAGCTATAGTGTAAACACTTGAAGGTTTTCTTGCCTCAAGTACCACACCACGTTCTAGGATACAACTTTTGATCAAACTTATTGATTAAAAGGGGATAGGTCAACTTTCTTATAAGTTGATCTTGCAAGTCCTATTGTTCGGACGTTGCAGCTGTTGAAGAAGCGTGACCTTCGAAGGAACAACAAAGCCAGCACGAGTGCAGTAGCAACATTGGCCTTGCGAAGATATACCGTGCAGAAATTCACACAAGTGTAATTGTTGGTTCATTATTCAACAACCAACTACATAGTGGATTTTGAGGACGTAGAAGGATTACCCCACCTTCAAACCTCGTTAAAGTTTGCGTGTCTCTCTCTTTTATCTTCACTCTTACTTGCAATTATATTAACTGTGAAAACTAACCCATCCATATTGATTACTGCTCACTCTATCCACCAAATTCCGCACACAATCTAAAGTTCACAAGAACTCTAGATTAACACTTATTTTCACGTTTTCAAAAGAAACGAAAAAGATTTTAAATCTGTAACAAAGTCTATTCACCCCCCCTCTAGACTTTGTATTTCACCACTTTGGGACCACCAATTGGTATCAGAGCAAACTTCTCACTATCTACGTTTAGATTAACGAGAAGCGATCATAATGGTGAACAATATGGATCACGGTTTGCCCAAGTTTTCTCTCTTAGGTTATGATGATTGGAAGATCATGATGGAAGCACACCTCTATGCTCTACATGACTGCATGTGGATGGTGCTTGAGGATGG